AACTGTACACTTTAAAAAGATGGCAAATTTTATGTTGTGTGTATTTTACTACAATTAGAAATAAAAATAGGGCCGGCCCGGTGGCACACTGGAGAGTGCGCTGCTTGGGAGTGTGACGGCGCTCCCGCCGAGGGTTCGGATCCCATGTGGAGACCGGTTCCCGCTCACTGGCTGAGCGCGGTGCGGGCGCAACACCGAGGGTTGTGATCCCGTTACCGGTCAGTAAAAAAGACAAAAAGGAAAAAAAAAAAAGAAATAAAAATAAAAAGAGGACACTGAAGCCACCTTTGTTTTTGGAGGGGGGACAGTATCAGTGGCTGAGTCCCCCACCCCGCCCCACCCCGCACACACCTACACTCCACAAAGGCTGAGACGGGGAAGAGGGTGAGAGAGGCCCAGTTGTTAATCACATCAGTGGCTGACACTGGAGGAGAGAGACTGAGAACACCGGGTGGGGTAGGCGGAGAGTGCGGAGGGACTCAGCAGTCCCAAGAAGATGAGAGTCTGGGCCCAGCACTGGCACTGGGACACGGAGCAGTGGGCTCTGCCACTGACCTGCTGTGTGGCCTGGAAACATGCACTGCCAGGGCCGGCCCGTGGCTCACTTGGGAGAGCGTGGTGCTGACAACACCAAGTCAAGGGTTCAGATCCCCTTACTGCTCATCTTAAAAAAGAAAGAAAGAAAGAAAGAAAGAAACATGCACTGCCCCTCTCAGGCCTCAGTTTCCCCCATCTGCGAGGATGAACCAATGGGGGGCAGAGCTGGAAGGGATGTGGCAGGGTGGCAAAGGGCAGGGCCAATCAGGAGAGGCATGGGCGTGGCCAGCCCTGGAGTGGCCCAGAGTGAGACAGTGATTGGTCAACATCCTGGGGTCGGGGCTCCGGGGTAGGGGGTAGGAGGTGGAAGAGGTACAGAGATGAGATATTGTGAGACACAAAGACAGAATAGAAGCAACTTGAGAGAAGCCTCCAGGGAAGAATCAATATCAAAGGTATGTTGAAAGGTGCTTGCCCAGAGCAGGGGTGAGAGTCACAAGCAGAAGGTCAGGTGTCCTGGGATAGACACGGGGATCTGGGTCCCAGCCCCAGGCTCTGCCTCTCTAACCTCTGTGGACCTGTTTTGTTGCCTGTAAATGAGACCATCGTTGGCTGCGCTGATGCTGCCGGACCCTGTGTCCGCCACCCCCAGATCCCCCTCATGATCCCTGGTCTGTCTGCCTCCCCCCACCTCGGGGGACCTCCTGTGCAGAGACTCTCCGAGAACAGCTCCTTGGTGTCACTTCTGCCCCAGGCAGGAGCTAATTAAAGCGGCCTCCTGCTGGGCTGTGCTCACCATGCTGCTGGCTCCCAGCAGCTGGGGTGGGTGGTGGGGTGGGGTCCCCAGCCTAGGTCTGACAAGTCCCCTGGAACCTGGGGAGGGGGGCACCAGGCAGAGCTAAAAATGTTTTATAGTATTTTAAAAACATTTGTAGTGAGAATATAAAATGGTACGGGTGCTGTGGAAAAGCAGTTTGACAGTTCCTCAAAAACTAAACATAGAATTACCATACGACCAGCACTTCTACTTCTGGGTATATACCCTAAAGAATCAAAAGCAGGGATTCAAACGGATGTTTGTGTAACAATGAGAGCAGCAAGATTCACAGTAGCTCACGCGTGCAAACAACCCATGTCCATGACGGATGAATGGATAAACACAGTGGGGCCGACCGTACAGTGAAATGTGACTCAGCCACGAAAAGGAAGGAGATTCTGACACGTGCTGCAACGTGGATGAACCTCGAGGACACTGTGCTCAGTGACATAAGCCAGTCACACAAGGACAAACACTGTGTGATTCCACTCACAGGAGGTCCCTAGAGCTGTCAGATCCACAGAGACAGAAAGTAGAATGGGGGGTGCCAGGGGCTGGGGAGGGGGATGGGGACTGAGTGTTTGATTGGGACAGAGTGTAAGTTTGGGAAGATGAGAAAGTTCTGGAGATGATGGCACAACCATGTGAATGTGCTTAATGCCACTGAACTGTGCACTTGAACACAGTTATGATGGTGAACCTTATGTTATGTGTATTTCACCACAATAAAAAATCATAACTGGGATATATTATGAACCTATCCCCCCCCCAAAAAAAGTGCAGAACACATGAATGTACAAGGTAATAATTATAAAGCAACATGACCATCTCCTGAATCAAGAACTAAAACATGGCAGCCACCATGAAGCCACCAGGAGCCCTGGGTTACCCCACCCCATCACATCCATCCCCCAGACGTTACTGCTTTCATTATGGTTTCCTTGTTTTTGAACTTCTATAAATGGAACCATGGTGTATGTGCGCCTTTGTGCTTGGATTTTTTTTTTTTTTCACTCAACATATGCTCAATAACAGGCGGTGGTATTTGAGGTGTGTATCAGGGGTTAATTCCTTTTTGCTGCCGTGTAGTATTTTATCCTATGAAGATGCTACAACTTGTTTCTCGGTTCTCCTATTGATGGGCATTTGGGTTGTCGCTGTTTGGGGCTATTATGAAAAAAGCAGCTATGGAACATTCTGGCCTATGTGTTTTAATGCCCAAAGGCATACCCAGGAATGGAATTGCTGGTCATAAGGCAGACATATGTTTAACTTCTATCAATTCTTTCAAATTGTTTTCCAAAGTAGGTTGTACCAATGTCTACCTCCATCAATAAATAGGCTATGAGAGTTCAGTTAGAACTTCATCTTCACTAACCATTGGTTTCCCCAGCTTATTATTATTATTATTATTATTATTATTATTATATATTGGCACCTGGCTGGTACGGGGTCTGAACCGTTGACCTTGGTGTAATAACATCACACTCTAACCGAGCTAACCGGCCAGCCATTGCCAGCCCTTTAAATGTTAGTCATTACAGTGGATGTGTCATTGAACTGCATTGAGGTTTTAGTTATTTATATTTATTATTATTTTGGGCAGTGAACGGTACAGGGATGAACCCTGGACCTTGGTGTTATCAGTACGACATTCTAACCAACTGAGCTAACCGACCAGCCTGCATGGAGATTTTAACAAACTTTCCTACAGTTGTTAATGAAGTTGGACACCTCGTTGCTTTGTAGGAACTCTTCACAGATTCCATGTGCTTACCCTTTTTTGGTTATATGTGATACAAACATCTTCTACCATTCCATGGTTTGTCTTTTGATTCTCTTCGTGGTGTTTCTATTTCCTGAATTTTATGCCCCAAATTCTTCAGGGAAAGGAATCACACCAAGACAACTAGCCATCAAGCCTGAGAAATCAGGCATATTTGGCAAGAAACTGGGCTGC